CCTTGAAACATATTACGAAGTTTTTAAAAATTTTGTATTTAAATATGCTGACACAAAATTAAAATTTATGTAGAAAGGTACATTATTAAATTTTAATACTTTTCAATTTTTTTATTAAATTTATTTATTTCTAGCAATTTTTATGTATGTAATTGTAAAAACTTGCACTTATTTTTACCACCATTGCAGATAATTGCTTATATTTAATTAATCGCTTACATTTGAGAGCGATTGTTTTTTATGGCTTATACCACAATCATTATAATATTTATAATTATAATAAAGATGATTTTTAGTCATCTTTGTCCAGATGCGAGGTTCGAAACTGGGCAATAATTTAACACACATTTAAAAAAATAATAGTAAATTTTAAAAAATATTGAAATCGTCAAATTGCTCATAAATTTTATAGCAATTTCTGCTGTATAGGTAACATTTGATAAAGTATTTAAAAAAAGAGTTAAATTAACACTGAACGTTATTAATATTATCCAAAATTATCAACGTAATGTTATGTGAATTAATTTAATTGGAAGTAGAGTGATGGCTAAGTTCTATTTGGATAGTGAAAAGAAATGAAAATACTTTCATATAATTTAGATATGAAAGACAAATTATTGATACAACAATATTTTTCAGAAACTTTTACATTTACTTACATCTAGAACTTTTTAAACTTTTATTACAATAAATTATATGTTATTTACATTGCACATGATTTGTGGTTTATACATGTATTACTTATCGCACAAGTACAAAACACAATTTTGCACATCTATCGATGATATCAAACTAATTTATATGCACAAGCAGATATATGTATGGATAATTATAATTTAATTAGAATAATTTTATATGTATAGAACAAAATAAAATTCAAAATAATGTTATGTTGATTTTTTATTTATTTTTTTTTTATTACAGTAAGCCCATTACGTAATAAAGTTTCTAAACATGATATAAACGTGCACAAAAATGATCACATTTTATAGTTAAAAATTAGTGTAGCAGAATAGTTTAATTACTTCTAAGATTGTGTTCAGAGAAAAATAGGCTAAACATTTACTTAGTTAGGTCTAAAGTCTATAATAAAATAACCTTTTCAATAATTATTCATTGATGCTTGGAAAACTATCCTATTATTCACGTTCGCTTGAAGATAACTTCTGTGGATAAAGGTATGGGTGGTAAAGTTGAAAGAGTTTGTTTGGACCCGTTGCTTGGAGTAGTAGATTTGTTGCCTCCATTGCCTCCATCATTTCCATCGTCTCCATTGCCGGAAGGAGTGGACCCGGTCTGGGGAGTAGTGCTCCCTAAAGGTGGTAAAGTTGGAAGAGTTTGTTTGGTGGACCCGTTGCCGGGAGTAGTAGATTTGTTGCCTCCATTGCCTCCATCATTTCCATCGTCTCCATTGCCGGAAGGAGTGGACGGTAACTGGGGAGTAGTGCTCCCTAAAGGTGGTAAAGTTGAAAGAGTTTATTTGGTGGACCCGTTGCTGAGAGTAGTAGATTTGTTGCCTCCATTGCCTCCATCATTTCCGTCATCTCCATTGCCGGAAGGAGTGGACCCGGTCTGGGGAGTAGTGCCCCCTAAAGGTGGTAAAGTTGGAAGAGTTTGTTTGGTGGACCCGTTGCTGAGAGTAGTAGATTTGTTGCCTCCATTGCCTCCATCGTTTCCATCGTCTCCATTGCCGGAAGGAGTGGACCCGGTCTGGGGAGTAGTGCTCCCTAAAGGTGGTAAAGTTGGAAGAGTTTGTTTGGTGGACCCGTTGCCGGGAGTAGTAGATTTGTCGCGTCCGTTGCCTCCATCGTCTCCATTGCCGGAAGGAGTGGACCCGGTCTGGGGAGTAGTGCTCCCTAAAGGTGGTAAAGTTAAAAGAGTTTGTTTGGTGGACCCGTTGCTGAGAGTAATAGATTTGTTGCCTCCATTGCCATCATTTCCGTCGTCTCCATTACCGGAAGGAGTGGACCCGGTCTGGGGAGTAGTGCTCTCTAAAGGTGGTAAAGTTGGAAGAGTTTGTTTGGTGGACCCGTTGCCGGGAATAATAGATTCGCTGCTTCCATTGCCTTCGCTACCTCCATTGCTTTCGTTGCCTCCGTTACCTCCATTGCCTCCATTGCCGAAAGAAAGGGACTTGTTCTCGGGAATACTAGATTCGTCATTTCCGTTGTCTTTGTTTTCTCCATGATCTGAATCGTCTCCATCGTCGTCCTTGCAATCGGGAGTGGACTTGCATTCTTTCGGAGATTTTTTATCATGTTCATCAAGCATGAAATTATCAGAATATCCTGATGCTTTCTCATTTTTCTCTTCACAAGCAGGCTCAGTTTCTTCCTCGGATTTACATTCCTTATCTTTCTCCTCAGTTTTATCTTCCTCATCTTCCTCCTCAGGTTTACATTTTTCAACTTCCTCCTCTGTAGTGCATTCCTCAATTTCCTTTTCAGTAACTTTCTCAGTACACTCCTCCTCTTCAACTTCCTCCTCTGTAGTGCATTCCTCAATTTCCTTCTCAGTAACTTTCTCAGTACATTCCTCCTCTTCAACTTCCTCCTCTGTAATACATTCCTCAATTTCCTTTTCAGTAACTTCCTCAGTACACTTTTCTTCAGAAGCAGGAGTTTCCTCACACTCATCTTTATTAATAGTAATAGGCATTTTTTTATAATTTTCTTCTGTAATATAAATTAGCATTAATTGTACTGTCCGACGCAATTTGGTTTCTTTTTTCTGCTCATGAGTATAAGTAGTCGTATCCAATGTATTTTTGCCTACTGAACATGAATCCGTTATTCAAATTTCACTATCATGTATAATTTTAAGAAAAATTATGCCAAAGAGGCCAATAGACAATTTTAAGGGTAGACGTTGTAAGGCAGCAAATTTTTTTTCTAAATTTCGTTAGTATCAAAACAAAGCCATTTAGTTTTATCATGCATTTCACTTCGTTTCATATAATTTTTTGTTTTAGAAATACAGCACAATTTAAAAATAGCTTTCTTCCTACATAATACACTGAAAGAGAACATTTTATTCTGTCGTTTTTTTTTTAAATTTAAACATAATAGTAAAATTTGAACAACGAATTTGTGTTCAGTAGGCAAATATACATAGGAAATGATTATTCATATTTGTGTTGCAAAATAGTATTCGAGCAACTTTGATGTACTTTACTATATATGTATTTATTAGATAATCGAAAATACATACCTTGTTCTACCGTTAGCATAACTGAAGATGGACATGGAGGAGGACGAGCTCCAACATCATCATATTCCAGTATCATCATTATTAAGGAAAATGTGATCTAAAAAGATTGATAGAAATCGTAGTATCTTCAAAGTATTTCCAGGTTATTATTTGAAAAAATTGTAACAATCACTGAATAAAAACTTACAACGAATTTTAAGGAAGCCATTTTTTAAAGAATCTTTTCTTAATTTTTTCTTGATTTTTCTTGATACAAATCGATGACTAAAAAGAAACAGAATGAGAGAAAAATTATAATATATTAATTTATCTTAAATTTAATTATACGTATCTTGATTTTTTTATTTAAATAATATGTATATCTTCCTGATATATGTCAGGGAGGCTGTCAATATAGAAAGAATGTAAAGAGAAACGAATATTTGCTATTGTTCTATTGGTAAGAACTACATATATATATATATACTATTGCTATCATACTAATTATATATATATATATAT